GGGCTCAGCTTGTACAAATGTTTAAAAATACGTACACTGTTCACAATTTAATAAATCATTTTAACAAGTTATAACTTAGTTTATACACTTGTTATATCTCACCAACAAACTGCTTCGTATATTCAGATGTTTAATTATATGATCATCTTTGTTACTTGACAGTGACATTTGGAATGACCAGCTCTACGATGTATTACTTTACAAAAGTAATGAAAGGTGTGTATGAACCTGAATACCATATAAAAAACAAATTATGAAATATACAAAATGCAAACAAAAGTGGAGAATACAAAACGCTAAGGATGCTAGGAAAATTTGAACGAAGAAGATTGGAGAAATTAATACGAAACATTAATGAGGTCAAAAATAGCAGTATATCTGCATGCATCAAACACTTTATTTATAATAAATTACAGGTGACTTTTAAATAAGGAGTCAAAACTACACATAGGACTAGACCCCATCCTTACAATAATGTATCATAACAATGGCTTACCTCTGACTCTGGACTCTATTTCCTTGGGTCTATAGCTTACAGAGACCTTCACTCATTGACTGCTTTAATGCTTTTTTACAATTACATTTTAGATCTTTTTGTTGAGACAACAATGGAAAACAGAAATACCTTCAAGGATATTACAACCATGAATGAATTCTTCATGGTAAGACGTCAGTTACGGTTCGGTTTAGGTTACTTTTGATAACACGGTGATTTTGTTCTCCATTCTTGGTTAACGCCAAACCATTTTACTTGTCAAAGGGAAGTGCTTGGTCTAAGCCATTAAACATAAAAAAATTATGAAAACTTGACAACTCATTACAGTTCTTTGTATTATTTTTTCTAGTATGCATCTGGCCCACTAAGCTCAGGAATCTACTGGGAACAATACTATAACACGAAGAATGTTACCCACAAGAATTTGAAAGAAGGAGAGCTTGGATATATCTACTTTGAAAACAAAATTCTTGGAAGACCACGATTCCGACAGATCAGGGTGAAGAATGATTCATGTGTGTAAGTAGAGGGTGGGAAAGGGTATTTTCGTGAGCCGTGAATGGTCAATATTTGTTCGCGTGAAATGTGAAATGCTTGATTTTAGTATCGTGAAATGTGATTTGTTCTACACTCTACAGGCGTGAGGCGTGATTGTCGATAAAAATGCTCCGTGAAATGAGAATTAAGGATGTCTGTTTCGTGAACTGTGATTTTGCTTTGTTTATTTCGATCTATTTTATAATAGTCATAATAGAGTAAATGATACGCGATAATCAATTCATAGTTATACATGCGATTGCACAAGAGTAAAAACTTCGGAGGCCTTTCGGAGGTCGTTGGACATACTCGTCACTCAAACTTTTAAGTTATGATGTAGTTTTTAACTAACAGGTAGAGAAGTGAGAGAACTTAAAGCGTAGATACTGTACCATGCATTAAACATACTCTAAACAAACCTATTATTATTATATTATTTTACTAGAGTCTAGTTTTCCGTGAAATTGCTTTCTTAAGACACGTGAAACGGCTTTATTTTCCGTTGTGAAACGTGATCCATACCCCCCTTTCCCACCCTCTAAGTATTTTCTTTACATCCTGGCTTTTGGCGCTTTTTAAATTTCCTAGAGGAAAATACCATTGACATCTTCACCAATACAAACGCTATTTGTCCAGTCTAATTTTTAGACTACCAAAAGATAATTCACCTACACTATAGTGAATATCATATACCAACATCATTTTAATTAAGAAAAATCGTAGTTATACGAATGGATATAGCTGTGTATATTGCATACAGAGATGCATATAACATTTTCCTATTTGCAAGCCTTTATCATAAGAAGGCCAAAAAGTTGTTCTGGTTCCACCACTGTCTAATATTTAAAATTTTCCTCACACAGAGTTCATGAGGATTTCAGCAACGTTATCAAAGAATGTTATGCCTCATATTCACCAGCTGTTGAAGACACGGCATCATTTGGGAAACAAAATGGTTCTGCGTAAGTAATTAAAAGCTAGATAATGATTAATGTTAATCCACTTTTACTTATGCAAGAATGAAAAGCAAATAAAATATATTTCGAATTACTTAAATTCAGTGGTGCCTAATTACTTTGAATTTGTACTCGAGTAAAAGTAGAAGTAATTAACAATAAAACGGCTTGAGTAAGAGTAAAAAGTACTGGAAGCAAAACGTACTTAAGTAAAAAGTACAAAGTATCCTTAAAAAATACTTGAAGTACTATTGTCTGTAGCTTGTAGATGGGGAGGGGGACTTCTCCAATGTCAATACATACAAAAGACACAAAACAGCACACGCATTATATGTGTGCACCGAATATACAATATTTTACGGCATGGTCTACTTTTCAGACCCCGTTGCAGATATAAGAAATCCATTAAATAAATAATGCTTATATATAAGTAAGTCACAAACGAGACTAGAGGTCGTTTTACCTATCCCGAAATTAAAATAAATCAGAAATAAATCACGTAAAATTAAACAAAAGTTAGAAAGTAACGAAATACTTCGCCACAAAATGAAAATAACGAAGTAAAATGTTATTTCTTAAAATGACTTCGTTCCAAGTAAAAGTACTCCAGAAAAAGTTTACTTTGTTACATGCTCACCTCTCAAAAATAGTACTCAAGTACAGTAACGAAGTACATTTACTTCGTTACTTGACATAACTGCTTAAATTCTTATACTCGTTCATGGCCTCAAAGTGGACATATCATTGATTTTGCCTTTATTACTTGAAGAATCTTTGATTCTTACATTGGCTTCGTATAACAAATTTTGATTATGAAGCATTACTGCTAGAATATAGCCTATCTATATACATTGAATAATTACGTCAAAAGATTGTATGGCTAAAAAAATTACAACATTTTATCTCTAGCTGGGTTTACAAAACTGAAGAAGAACTGAAAAGCCGAAGTCATTGGGGTCAGTTGACCACATACAAAGGAGGCGGATTTACACAATTACTTGAACCAAAAAAAGCTGACACTGATGCAATTATTGAAGATTTGAAGGTTGAAAACAAATTACTTTATTTACTAATAGCCTATTACAGTTATGGCTATTTGAACCGAAGATGTTTGTTATAAACGTACAAAATGTTGCTCAGTTAACAGTTTACCCTGATTTTATAATTATTAATTTATTATTATCAGTAATTATAGTTAATATAGATACTCATTTTTTAATTTTTTTATTTTTGTATTACAGGACAATTTGTGGCTTGACCGTGGTACCCGAGCAGTTTTCATCGATTTCTCTGTGTATAATGCCAATATTAATCTTTTCTGCATCATCAGGTAAGGAATGCGCATTGTTGTTCAGTTGTTGTTATCATTGTTTTCAATCTAACAAGATCCGTAGCGTATCCTACAAAACTTTCCCCTTTTATTGTCTGATCTCTTCGTAATTAATTTATTTTCTACATTTAATTTTATCTTACATTACTAGTCCTTAAGCTTAAATATTGATGATTAAGTAATTTTCTTTATTTTAGGTTATTATTTGAATACCCAGCAACCGGTGGATGTATTCCCAGCTTTACGTTCAGAACATTGAAATTGATCCGTTATGTTACTGGCTTTGATCACTTCGTGATGGCATGCGAGGGCCTTTTCTTCTTATTCCTTATCTATTATACGATTGAAGAAATTATTGAGATTAAGAAACATAAACTACAATACTTCAAGAGTTTTTGGAATATCCTTGATGTTGTTGTGCTTCTTCTTGGTTACATTGCTGTGCTCTTCCACCTGTATCGTACCGTAGTTGTTGGCAGTCTGCTAGAAGGACTTTTGGATAATCCGAACCAATATGCAAACTTTGATAACATTGGTTTCTGGCAGACACAATTCAACAACAATGTCGCCATTGCTGTATTCTTCTCTTGGATCAAGGCAAGTTTCGAGATTTAACATTAATTTTTAAATCATAACATTATTTTTTTCTTTATTCTCTATTATTAATTAATCGATTCCGCATTCGAATATTGTTTGAAAGATTGAAACATTTGATGTACTTTGATTTCAGGTGTTTAAATATATCAGTTTCAACAAGACCATGACTCAGCTGTCATCCACACTGGCCAAGGTAAAAATCACGCATATGATGCCCACGTAAATACGTACTTTATCTTAGATTCAAGACAATCACTGTTGCGGAAAGGTTGGGTTGATCATTCTTTAGCAAATGTCTCAACAACCTCGTACCCAGGGTATTACCTCCGAGGGGGTGAGCGAAGGTAATACCCTGGGGTACGAGGTTGATGTCTCAAAGGCTGTTTAGTCAGAAAACATTAATCAGAAACACTTGCTTCTTGAGTAAATTACCTCTGAATTAATGAATGGTTAATTTACAACAAATAATGGCTGTGGAATTTCCATACATGCTAGTTGAAGGATAAAACAAGCAAAAATGGAGGCGGGAGGGGGTGGGGGGGGGGGACGGGGACAGTCAGTAGACGTAGTTTACTATAGATTATATTACAATGTTCACATAACAGTAGATAAATCTTCACATGTCCAAAAAGTGGGTGAGGTGCCATCTTGCTTGTCCATCTAATATTGACGCCTTTGAAACCAGGAAAGAAAAAATTTGTTCCCCTGATAGGAAATGTTGTTTTCAGAATAATGTTCTTGGGGGATGGTTATTGGGGGATTGATGTTTCTAAGATGACACTGTTTATTAGCTTGCTCAGGCTTTTACATCTCAGTTGAAGTGTAACCTTTTTGGACATCATGTCGTTTTAGTGTGCCAAAGATGTTGCTGGTTTCGCTGTCATGTTCTTCATCATCTTCTTTGCATACGCTCAACTTGGTTACTTGATTTTTGGTACTCAAGTTCGTGATTTCAGTAAATTTAGTAACAGCATGTAAGTATAGGCATAGTCAATTTTTTTCCAACGTGAATCACGGTCGTTGTGCGCGTGGAAAAACATTCATCAAAGTTCTATTGAACTGAAGTGAAAACATTAGTGTGGGATTTGTCAATTTTGGGACGAGTATTTTGATTAGTCGTTCGGTGTGTTGGTCGGCCGTCACTAAAACTAATCTCTCATTATAGATTCACGCTATTCCGTATCATTCTTGGTGACTTTGACTTCCATCAAATTGAGAATGCCAACCGTATACTTGGTCCAACATTCTTCATCACATACGTCTTCTTCGTATTCTTTGTACTGCTCAACATGTTCTTGGCTATCATCAATGATACTTATGCGGAAGTGAAATCTGACATTGCGCAACAGAAGAGCGAGTTCGAAATTGGAGATTACTTCAAGAAGGTACTGAGATCTGCTCTATAAGTATATCTTCTGTATAAGTAGTTTATATTTGTTATACAAATGTTTGTTTTTGTGTATTCGTATATATATATATATATATATATATATATATATATATATATATATATATATATATATATATATATATATATATATATATAAGTATCATGAAGACTGGTTGATACTGTAAGTATCATGAAGACTGGTGCGGTTTGTTTTTGTTAACTACTTATAGTGGTAAGAGCCAGTTAAGTTTTTGTATAATACGATTGTATAGTAGGAAGATTTGAGCAGATTTTCTTTAAATAAGAAACACTACAATATTTATACCAGCAAAGGAGATGAAAGATTCTGGGTAAAAGTAATGGTGTGAAAAACATAATAATGTGAATACAGTATAATTATACAGTATAATGGCATATTATACGGTATGCTAAAATGCAACATGTTTACATTACATATTATGTTCGGATTGTTTAAAGGGATACCAAAAGGTAGTCGACAAACTGTCAGTGAAGAGAGAGAAGATTGCTGATATCCAGAAAGCTCTAGCAACTGCCGATGTTAACCAAGACAGTAAGCTTGACTTTGAAGAATGGAGAACTGAACTTAAATCGTAAGTATCTTCCTCACCTATAAATCTATAGATAATATGTCTATAGAGATGCATATGACACAGTAAAATATACGCATCCAAATATGCGTGAAGTGTCTTGACGCCTAAATGATCCCACAATCCCTAATCCACAGCCTCACAGAGTATTCAGCAACACAAAAATAATTGGAGAAGAACGTTTAATCTACAGCCATTCATGTTTCACCATTCAACGGCTAATTAGAACAACTAATTGAAAGAAATCTCATGCCAAATAAAGTTTGTGCTATAATTAAACGTATTTTAATATAGCGGTTTATAATATGGTGTCAACAGGGGTTAGGTCTATAGGGGTTAGGTGTTGTCTATGGGGGTTAGGTGTCAATTGGGACGAGAGTCCTGTTCCTTTCCCCTGTCACGAATTGTCTAACTTGTCTTTATTTGTCTTTAACTAGTTTGTAACATGTACATAGTGACAAATTCAGTATATCATATCATTATATCATTATTTTCTTTTTTCAAAGATTCATGTCTGTTTATTAATTTCTAGCCGTGGCCATGCTGATGCTGAGATTGAAGCAGTATTTGCGAAGTATGATGTTGATGGTGACCGTGTCTTAGATGAAGAAGAATGTAAGAAGATGCAAGAAGATTTGGAAGGACAAAAGGTAAGTTAGAGTTGTTTTACGTAGGGATCAGTATATAGTTTTTACTTTAATTAGAACACGCAAAGAAACAATACATGTGGCTTTGAGAGTAAAAATATATACGCACTTATACGGTTTTGTTTATATAGCCTATAGGTTTAGCTTATAGCGTTAAAATTTAGATTGGACGGAATGTTGGATAATTTATAGCTTAGCCGCTTGGTAGGGTTCCGTGTTTTCGATAATGCAGTTTACATGTACTTGGTTTTCTCACCTGGATGTACTGTCAAAGTGTCAATGGTAAGCTTAGCTTTGAATGGTTTTGTAATCAATTTAGCAGAGATTTCCAAGGAATCACGCGTGGTTAACGTCCATATTCGAGCAAAGACATGATCTGAGTGAGCCAACAGGAAGGTATAACCAAATGCTGATTTTCGTACATAAACAGCACCTACTAAGTTTGTCCATGCCAGGAGTCTAACCAAAGATATTCAATGATTTAAACTGCAGATATGATCAGGGCTATTACACAGCTCAGTATTCCCTCTCAAGTGACCCCCGATAATGTTGTATTTTTCATCGTGACCATTTGTTCTTTTTTTAGAAAGATAATATATGTATAGGGAACTTTGATTATAGTTTCTAATAAAGACTGGCGTTGTGCTTAGCCTAGCCTAGCAGAAAACATGGGGGTATGCCTCATGATAAGTTTCGTTATCCAATACTAAACTGAGTGGTCTAAAGCTGTATTGAATTTTAGGCTGAACTGAATGAAGAAATTGAAGAGATGGAGCGTGCTAAGGAAGAAGGACGACCAGCTACAGCAGCCAGTCGCGTGAGTTTCCGTGACAGTGATATGGATAGTGATGACGAAGGTGGATTGAGAGGACGTTCTGGATCACCAACATCAAGACGTCGTGGTGGTGGAGGTGGTGGTGGTGTGCCTTATGATGAATTCAATGTGTAAGTATGAGAACGCTTATGGAATTTTCATGTTACAGGAAAACATTAGAGGTTTAGGTTGTTTATTCCCGTGAAACTTTAAACTTTACGTGGTGTATACTAGTGTTCTCTCTTTCGCGCTATGAATATATGGAGGATGGCTAAATGGCGTGGGTGGGTGGGTCGTGCGTCGTGGGTCGTGCGTCGTGGGTCGTGCGTCGTGGGTCGTGCGTCGTGGGTACGGTGTTGGGCGTCGTATAGACAATGAAAATATTTTTTTTAAAACGGATAGAGGGCAGACGGACAGACGGATGGATGAGAGGGTAAAAATGGACGGATGAGAGGGTAAAATGCGAACGGACGGCAGGAGGGTAAAATGCGGATATGAAGGCATATAGAGTGGTGTATTTGTATTTTTCATGTAGACTAAAATCCCAACCTTTGCAACTTTCATGCTTATTTTTCTTTGTTATCCGGTGTGTAGTAATTTAATTTTATGCCACTATAATGTGCTGTTTTTCAAGGGCTTCTAATGCAGTTATCGGTCCTAAAAGTAACATTCCCGTTGAGATATGACAATTTCAGGACGGCCTACTTTTACGCAAACGCGAATTACAATGGCAGCATTTATGCTTAATTTTCTCTGTTATCTGTGCATGTAGTAATCCTATTTTATGCTACTATAATGTGCTGTTTTTCCAGGGCTTTTCAATGCTGTTATCGGTTTAAATATACCTAAAATGCCCGTTGAGATATGACAATTTCAGTACGGCCTACTTTTACGCAAACGCGAATTACAATGGCAACATTCATGCTTAATTTCCTCTGTTATCTGTGCATGTAGTAATCCTATTTTATGCTAGTATAATGTGCTGTTTTTCCAGGGCTTTTCAATGCAGTTATCCGTTTAAATATACCTAAAATGCCCGTTGAGATATGACAATTTCAGTACGGCCTACTTTTACGCAAACGCGAATTACAATGGCAACATTCATGCTTAATTTTCTCTGGTATCTGTGCATGTAGTAATCCAATTTTATGCTACTATAATGTGCTGTTTTTCCAGGGCTTTTCAATGCAGTTATCCGTTTAAATACCTAAAGTTTTGACGAGCTAGTGTACCCATGGGCGGTACGGAAGGAAAAAATTAGGGGAGCGGAAAGAAATTTGTCCGACTTTTTCGGATTGTGCCCGACTAGTGCGAAATTTTTTTTCTGGAACAATTAATTTTGGCGACCTCCGCCCCAACCCCCTCCCCCCCGTCGCCAAAAAAATTTCGGTCAGTGTACCATTTTAGGGGTCCAAAAATTTTTCGGACATACCAAAATTTTTCGCAACATCAAACAAATTTTCCAAACAGCACAAAATTTACAGAATTTCCCACAAAATTGACAGAATCCGAATCGAATATTGCCCAACTGGCTTTGTTTGCCCGGCAAACTGGGGGGGGGGGGCGCCCGGTACGCGTATGATTATATTACATCAACCACGGGTTTCGAATTGATTTTTCAAGCACATGCAACAGTGGAAGTTTTTATAGTTTTTCAATATTACATATTTTATACTTATTAACTAAAGTTATTATTAAGAGAGATTTGATTGCTTTGACTACTTCTTTGGCTTTTTAATTTCCCACCGTCTTCGCCCGACTTATGTTGAACATTTGCCCGACTTTTCGACTTTGTAATCTTTTTTTTTTGGGGGGGGGCAGCTGCCCCCCCTGCCCCCCGTCCCGTACGCCTATAAGTATACCGCCCAGATAACAGACAAAATTAAGCATGAAAGTTGCAATTGTAATTCACGTTTGCGTAAAAGTAGCTCTACGGTTTTCAAAAAAATGGAAACCATTTAGATCGGTATTTTAATAAATTGTCAAAATAATTGAGTATACTAAAACAAATAATTTTATGAAATAAAAATTGGGGGTAGGCTGTTGCGGTATTTGAAAAAAAACGAAAACCGATACCGGAAAAAAATACCGATAATACTGATATATCGATATTTTTCGCGATTGTATTTTGCTTAATTTTATGCAAAATTTGCTTAATTTTATGCAAAATTTGCTGTTTTCAAATGATGCCAAACAGCCACGATATAACAGCTTTGACTCATCAGATGCGTAATATTTTCAATAAAGTGTCAATGAAAAGTGAAAATGCATATTACTTAATTTAATATTAGCATTGATTACCGCTCCGGATGAAACATGTGTGATATTTTTGTCCGGGAAATTGTTTCAAAACATTTTATTCAACTGCGAGTTCGAAACAAAGATCGTCCTATATCACCAGAAAACTAACAATGTCCAATGAGGTTAGTTCTTGTTTTTCTAAAACATTTGTAATCCACCGTTGTTTACGTTCTAAAAGTTCACGAGCGAAATGACATATTACCTATAACTAAAGCCTGGTTTCCATTAAATCGTAATTATCGCAAGAACCGCATCACAAGCGTCGCAACGATTTTAAAAACGCGAAAATTTTAATAAAAACTGCGATTTATTGGAAACTTGAAGCCTGGTTTCCATTAAATCGTAATCATCGCAATAGTCGCGGAACGCAGACATCGCTATCGCAAAAATCGCAGTAATTCTATCTTTGCGACTTTGTCGTAAGAGTCTTAGTTATCGGTGTGACTCAGGTTTTCAATAAATCGCAGTTGAAAACCTGAGTCACACCGATAACTAAGACTCTTACGACAAAGTCGCAAAGATAGAATTACTGCGATTTTTGCGATAGCGATGTCTGCGTTCCGCGACTATTGCGATGATTACGATTTAATGGAAACTAGGCTTAAGCGAAATGACATATTACCGTACCTTGCAACGTACGCCAACGTAACGTATAAACAAACACGTTTTAGATCGCGTTCTAACCTTAATTGACGGATTTTCCCGCGGAGTTAACACATTGATCGTCTTTGTCCTTCTGAGTAACTTCAATCAGCGCTTGAAATTTGAAAAAGCTTGATATGGCGTTTAAATATACAAACGTAAACGTGATATCGATAATACCGAAAAATATCGATATTCCGATATTGATTGAAAATTCCAATATCGAGTAATCGGTATTTTGATAAAAAAAGATAATTATCGGTTTATCGATATACCGCAACACCCTAAATTTGGAGGTCACCGATGTCTTTTACAAGTTAAATTACTGTAATTAAATTCAACCACCCACAAGTTCACCCAGCATTTTTGCCAATGTGGTCATAGTTAATAGAGATGTGGCATATAGCTAAAAAGATTGGTGCAAAATTTTGGCAGTTCATGGTATAGTTCGGTTTTAATTTTTTTTTGCGCTTTACTAACGCACGACCCACGACGCACGACCCACGACGCACGACCCACGACGCACGACGCACGACCCACGACGCACGACCCACGACGCACGACCCACCCACCCACGCCAAATAGACAATCTCGAATATATGTCTGTACGTACATCTAATTAACAACTCTAATTTCCACACTTCCAGTCACTTTTTTATTCCTATGTCCTCGAGGATTAATTGTTGAGACTTCGTTAAACGTTGTTTTATTTTGTAATCTATCAGGCTGAGTCGCCGTGTAGATCGCATGGAACACTCCATTGGAAGTATTGTATCTAAGATTGATGCCGTTCTTGTCAAACTGGAAGCCATGGAGAAAGCCAAGTTAAAACGCCGAGAAACCATGGCCAAGTTACTTGACAGCATCACTGAAGTATGATATTTGATATGAATATTAACCATTTCTTCTTTAGCCTGCTGGTCTTGAGCCCACTGATTCCTGTCCCCTATCCTTCCTTTCCTTATCCTTTCAGAAATAACATGCACACATAGTCACCCATTATATTTAAACTTTTTATCGTCAGTCTATCCATCTCTTCTCCAGCTAATCTACATTTCTTCTTGTTATGTTTACCTAAAATCTCAATCTTAGTTCCTCCACCCTCTCTGCATAGTTTACCACCCACATCTTCTTTTTCTCTCTTTCTTCCTAATATTATGAAAGTTTGTCTTCTTTGTTTTTAATCCTTTTTGGTGTTTCAAATACAAAGCACAAAAACTTAGTATAATTGCTGAAAATGAACATTGAATAAGATATGCTTATTCAAGGAGCATACAGCGTTGGGTGAAGTGCACGACAGTCCCTTAATCTGAAAAAGATAAAAATTCTTCACAGCCCCCAAGTTAAAAGATTTTATTGGAGGATTGCTAAAATAAGATTTTAATCTGAGTTGTTTTGTTGTTGCAGGGTACGAATTCCAAATCTGAAGAAGACTTGAAGCGCGATCAAATGGAGAAACTTGTACGTGAAGAGTTGGATAACTCATGGAGTAGTAATGCTAGCCTGCGTTCAGGTGGTGGTGACTCTCGACCTGGCACTGCTGCTTCTCGTGGTGGATCGCGAGCACCTACAGCTAAATCATTGTACAGCCAGGGTGGCAACAAAAGTGCCACTTCACGTGGACGTAAAACTGCACAAGGAAGTGCAGCAAGCCTTCGAATGGAATCTGTAAGTATACCTCATTACAAAGCATGCCAAGTTATTAGGCGTTACCATCTCGAATGACTTGAAATGGAACTTGCATGTAAATATAACGTTCCATCGTTGTACGAACACCGAAGCATCCTTTGTGAACGACTTTTCCACAGAATGCTTGATCCAGGTCACAAATTAAACTCGCTCGTTCCAGCTCTTAGGGTTAACGAACACAATCTACGCCATAATAGGTGTTTTAAGGTTCCAGTTTGTAGAACTGATCGCTACCATAAGAGTTTTATACC